ATCATAAGTAATCTTAATACCAATAGTGCATATGTGGAAACATGAGTTTACAAAACAAGAAATTTTCTCTTGCCATCCAAATTGTTGCATATAAAATAATCACAATCTTGGGTTGCAAATTTTAGTCAAGCTAAGATTGGAGATAATGTTACTCTATGCATTTGCTATAATGTTTCTTGTACAATTTGAGCACGGCTAGAAACTTTGCCATTTGTACGAGGTTCAAGCATTTTCAGATGTAGTGATCTTTGTATTTGCTCCTTGATCTTTTTTCAAACAATTTTATTTCTCTGTCACTGTATGATTATGCTGATACTTTGGATAAATTTGCTTTTGATTTTTATAATTGTGCTCTCTATCTTTGAAGTATTTGCTCTTTTTCACGTTTTTCTTTATATGTGCTTAATAATTGCGTATGAATATGAAATTTGTATTATAGAGTTGAATTATATTGATATATATCATGTGACTAATATCACATGTTGGACAATTTGATCTTTTTGAACGAAAGATGAGAAGAAAATTACATCCATGAGAAAAATGAATTTCTTTGTAACAATTTGAACCCATTAACTACTTGAGTTCTAGCTAATGTTATGTCAATTTTGAGAAAAAAAAACAATTGTAATGTTAAGCAAGAATGTTGCAACGTTTTTTTGAAAGAAGAAAAAAACTTCTCAAATAACTAGCATGATACTTCTGGATGCAATTGTCTTCAATGCAGTTATCACATGAGTATGGGTTTGAGATTATTTTTGCATGTTGCATTTTATATATCATGAATCAAGATCATAATTGATCTAAATTCTAGACTCATGATATAATTTACTCACTGTTTGCACTTGAACAAAAATAATTGCCCTTATATCAATTATTGGAAAGATCTCATGAAATTCATAATTTACTACAATCACAACAAAATGCACAACACAATGTACAATAGAGCATATTCCTTGTCAAAAAATAACGTGGTTTGCCTTCGACTATATCACAAGTAACATTAGATTTTGTGAAAAAAATCTATTACTATGTTTGACGTGAAGCTAGGTCTTGCTGTCCTTAGTAGTCCAAACAAACAAAGCTCTAAAACACTCATCTGAAATGTTTGGAAAAATAATCTACAATAGTTATCCCTAATAAACATCATCTCATATTCCAACCTTGATCATGAAAAATTTGAGTTAGAAAATATACTCAAAAAAAATGAGCTTGTAAATATTTTCAAATTGAGTTTTTGATTCAAATGAAATGGATAATTTTTATATGAATCAATTTGATAGTTACTAAAATTTCTATCTAACGCATCTTTGACAATTAAAAAAATTGACTGCATGTGCAACAAGAACGTTGCATCATAAAAAGAGTGAGATTTCTAATCATAGTTAGTTAGTTTGAACTAAAGTAAAAATTACTCAAAAGAAAGATATAGTTGCATTATAATGGACATTATGGAAGACTAGAGTTGCATTATGATTTCACAACTCATATAAGTAATTTTGTTTTCAGTCTCAATTCCATATTTGAAATATCATAAGCATGCACTTCTTAATTTATTCTTAAATATAATAAGCCAACATATTTCATTCACTCGGATTATCAAAAAAATCATCATTTCAAATTATAAACTTAATATGCATGTAAAGAAGTTTGATTTTTTAAATTTTTATCTCGTATGCAATCTTGTTCTAGAGTTCTTATCAATTCTTCACATAGAGAGACAATTTATTTTGATACTTGTCTTGATGTTTAGACATCTACTTAGTCTTGAACTTTATACGATTTTAAGAATTTGATTGTTGGAAGTTGAAAATTGATACGGATGAACGTTCATGCAGGTTTAGACTGATATCATTAAGTTTTCTAAAACTACTTGTTAGGTGATGTTTTATGATTGATAAAGTGTGTTTTTGCATCTCTATCAAACACACTGAGAATAACACCCTCATTTGTACTAATCCATTCATTACCACTAATGCAAGTGGACATCATTGTTATCATATGTGTCATTATGTAGAGTGTTGATAACTAAAGACAAAGTATCTCAAATTGCATAGACTTGCAGATTGAGCATATTATCGAGGAAAGTTTCTTCTGTTTAAGTTCTTATAGACATAACATACCAAAATCATTAGCCATGGACATTAGTCATCCTTTGGGTTTACCAATGCTAGTCTATTATGCAAATGTAAATATTCTGGTTCATTTTAGTGCGGAGTCTACACGGAGACATTAAAGCGGAGCTCAACATGTCCTACGTTCTTCTAAAAAAAGGCTCAATATCAAAAAACGTATTATATAGATGGGAGAGGGTAGGGAAACCATAAGAGATGCAAATGCAGACCACAGTCTAATGCCATGCAGGAAGTGTATAGGTTCGCAGTGCTTTACTTACACATCGAGCAACCACGTTTTGAGTCATATAAGCAAAATTAGATTCACACTTCATCCTCTAACAACGAGCTGATGAAAATAGAACGAGCCTACGACGAAGGAAACGGAGAGAGATGAGATATAGTAATATACCCTAGAGCCCATAGAGCTTAAGTAAGAATTAAGTACAGGGCTCAAGCAAGAGTAGAGAGACGAGTAACATGGGCCTGGCCCCAAGGGAGGAAATCGAAAGACGACTTTCAGAAACGACAAGTGGAGCGAGAGAAGGCCAGAGAGAGAGAGAAGGAGATTGGCCGGAAACTGTATAAAATTCTCCTCGAACTCAATGAAAGAGCCGCGTGGGAAGATCCGATCTCATCCACCGCTGGTCTCCTCCATAGAACAGGCTTCTACCCCATCACAAGCGCACAGCAGCACAGTCGTAGCTAGCGGTGTTTGATTTAATCTGGAAAAGCCTCTCTCTGCTCGGATGGTTTCCGTCATCTCGCTTGCTTTTTTGACCGGTCAAAGACAAAGTCGCCGCCTAACTTTAGAGATGTGTTTAGCAGCAGCGGATAGCGTAGATCCACGATTCATAGTCGCTTTTTGTGATGACGATCTTCGAGGAACAGTAGGCAGGAAGTCAGATCTCGCGCAGGAATTTGTGGAGATTCTCGCAGCGGATCCTCGTTCAGATTGTTTATGCTTCTTCGAGCTTCTGTTTTGTTCGAATCGACGTGATCGAACTGTGTAAGAACAGTTTGCCCTTCTTCCACTCGTCCTACAATTATGACTCTGTCTCTGTTCCAGGGAGATGGATCCCGTTTGCTTGGACAAGGATCTCCCGCATCCACGTTTCTGCATCTTCGCAAGTTCCCAAGTAGACGTGACATCCTTCGGCCTTTGGCTTCTCATCCATCCTCCTCCTCCTGCATCTTGGGGTACCAAGTGATTCGTTTTTTTTTCTAAATACCCCATCGAGTAACGAAAGGATGGATACAACGGGATATATGGGACCAGCCTACACTAGCATCACATTTAGACATACGTTTTCTTGCGTTTTAGATATCCAAGCTATTTGCCTATGTATGTAGATAAATTTAGGGACCGGCTAGTTATTTTTCACTTAAGCTTCATTAGTCCCCACTATACTCCAAGTTCTTATTTGATTGGTAGATACAGGGTTTCGGGATAAATAGCACCTACTTATATACCTACTTCGACCAATAAAGAAGAATGTGTACTAGGGTGAGTGCTAATTAACCCTAAGTCAGTGAAAACTAACCATACTCTAAATTTATTTCTATGTATTGCATTATCTTATGTTATATCATACAAAATGTACGATAAATTATGCAATATAAAAATGTGTACATAAATTTATATGGCTTGTTCTCGTTTACAGTCTCACAATTTTTGTCCAAGTTAACATTTGTATCTCCATTTGATATTGAAGTTGGAAATAAAGAAAGAAATAAGAGCAAGCAATCTAGGTGAAGAACTATACAGTTGGATACCTTGAAGGATGGTGCTCTATTGCCGCACATCCTTAAAGATCTCTTTTCCAATATAAAAAGTATCATTGTGTAGTATTTGAAAAGTCTATGTCTATAATAGTAACTGGGGAGTCCCAAATCAAGTGTAACTTTATCGTGATACGGGGCAAATGCAGAACTTGTCTACGCATCTTCATGTGCACGTCATGCTCTCTTTGGTAGCTATTCTCTGTATTTCAGATATGCAACAACGAATTATATATCCCCCGCTGATACTACTATATAATTTTAGAATTTCAAAATAATAATTTTTTTCAGTAAAATTCCATCAATACAAGTAAATAATTTCATGACAAATTCAATCCAAAAATCATGACGGCGCAGATTTACGCAAGGAAACAAAGTTGCTCAAATTCTCGTCCAAGAAAAGGTACACGTTGTATTCAAATTGGGACAGTGATGACAGAGTCAATCTGCAACTCATAACGTTTTGTGTCTCCAAGGACGGTCGAGGGAATAATGCATTTATTTGGAACATAATTTACCATTAAATTGACATTTTCCTAATCGACGTTGAGAATATGCGTGAGATGTGAACACGGCGAAAGGCCATAAATAATAAATAATTAAATACCAGATTTGTTGAGAGTATTAACTTTCTAGCTATAAAAAAATTCATCAACAAGATTTTCACAACATCTTTTCGTAATGCGAGAGCTGTTCAAAATTTGATTCGACTAGCTGTTTAGAATACTCATGCACTCCTCACTCATGTTCTAATGTGCATTACTTCACTCTTCAAAGTTCTCTCACTGAATATCAATAACTATTTCTCTCGCACTTGACAATGGTACCTACGTCCACTGGACTTTTGCTTCGAGCCTAAGGGTTCTAAACCGCATATAGTTGGCCAGAGGACCTGACATCCTTATGACTAAATCTCTCGCTTCATTCAGTGGTCCAATCTTCATGAGATGTCCGGATTTCGGTGACTGAATGGGTACCCTCAGTCTACTGTACTTGAACAACAATAGATGAGCAACTGGGTTCAACAGCGATAGGATCATCGACCGTCAGATGGACTCTGCAAAAATCGAAGCATCATGCGGACGAGGACTTGAGATATCAATAGTCTACGCAGTGAGTCATTTATAGAAGAAAGACAAGTTTGGAAAAGGAAAGGGGGTGCAAACGACGGCGATCTTCTCCGCTCATCGGGTCTAGAAGAAACCCACGAGCAGACCCTGGGTGAGGAGGAGGAGGAGGAGGACCAGGCGTTGAATTTAAGGTCAGATAGATGCTGGGAAAAGACCGGAATGAACATGATCTTGTCCAACTTGCTAGGCTTGTCCGGATCCACGAGAAGGAAAAGCTGACAGAACGCAGCGGTTGGAAATTTCGCATTTCTCAACTACAGTGCTATTCAACAACTGTGCTTTCGGAAGGGAGTCAGTAGTTCGCACCGACGATCAACGGATGCAAATTTGACTGACAAGGGCAAATTGTGACTGAGTTTGGTCCAATTAGCCTGGGGCGAGCTTGGGGTCTGTAAAGGACTGACTGTACCACTCTCTTTTCAGTCCTGTAATAATATCAGACCGACTCGGAAGTGGGTGATGATGCTGAGATAGAGTGTGGGAGGCACGGTGAAATATCTGAGCCAGCGAGTAAACGCGATGAACGTTCTCAGAAAGATGTGCAGCAAAAGCAAACAAGATAAGCAAGGCAATTTTAGAGATGCTGCTGCTGCTCGACAACTTGAGTTCGACTTTTGTCTTCAGGCTCCTTCGTCTTCGGTTTCCTTCTCGGAACTCGACACGCCATTTCCACTCACTCCCTCACTCCCTCACTCACTCTCATCAGGATAAAGTAGTACGGCAATGGGCATGGACGAATTCGATCGGAGAACGAGGTGCTCGAGTTTTCTTTCGTAGCCATTCTCCGGGAACAGACTTTGCGGACATCGAAGTGAGGACCAGCAACTGGCTTCTGCTCGCTCACTGTTGAGCTTGCCAGCTCACGTGGGCGACGAGAACTCGAGGACTTCCTTCCGGTCAACTGTCTCCTTGTGTTATTATTGGCAGGTCCAAGCTGTACTGTACACGATTTTCTGGACCGGAGACGACTGCTCCATTTGTAGAAGACTCTTTCTTTCGGTGTGCAGCGCAAGGTTGTTGATCCACGACGGTTGTAAGCATGCATGTGTATGATTTGTTTAGACTGACTTTTACACGGCAGGCGTTTCTTTCATAGCTTGTGTCATGAGTACATCCGACCACAGACACAGAGAGCTAGCATGAGAACATGATGGAAATCTCTTTCAGCTTTGAAACTTCCTGTTGTGATGACCGACTTTCGTAAGAGTCAGTGGTCATGCCCGTTAAAATCTGACATTTCTGTGGTAAAGAAGAAAAGCGTCTCTCGATCAATCCTCACATTGTGGGGTCTACATATGTCTCATGAGAGTTCAGTCGACTTCGTCGGAAGCTCCACGTTCGCTTTTCATCCCTTTCGAACCTTGTCTTCGTCCCCCGTAAGAACTCATCGTTGCGACAGATTATGCAGTTTCTCAACTCTTTGGTGTCTTTTTGTTTTGTTGAAGAGGGGAGAAAAAGGGAATAAAAAATGATGATAAGATTGTGCTATGCAATCAGAATGATCACCCACAAATAATGAAGGTGATTAATACTCTTGTTTAGACTGATGTAGGGAGGGGGTTGCCATTGGATCTAGCAACAACCACGTTGTTGCTGGGTCTATCCAAAAACGCTAGAAAACATTCCATAGGGAAGAACCATTCTGTCACTCGCTTTCTATAATTTTCCCTGACAATGTACCAATGTGATTTCTGTTGCACCCAATTTCTCTTCGTTGTTGGCGTGTCATGGGTTTTTAGGCTCCTAGTTCCACTAGACCCTTAATCCAGATTGGGTGGGTGACAGTCCATACATACACTTCGTCAGGGTTTATGGGTCTATAATCCATGAAAGCTGAAAGATCTAGACTAGAGTGACTCCCAATAATTTTTTATTATAACGTCACTTTTCTGTTGATAAGCTTGACACATTCATGCCCTTAAGGTGTCATGTAAATATGGAATTTGTAGTGTTATACGCTTTGGCGGCTTTTCCTCGTATACCCGTCTCTTCAACCGGTATGACGTACCGTAGTGAGTTCATACGTGATCTTCTGAAGTACACTCTTGGGTGTCCACTTTTCGTACGAAGCTTGGACTGCTAGAAATATCATGAAATATTAATAAATAAACAGCTTCCACTCATACTTTGCTGGTTTATTCAAGAACGAATAAAAGTCCATTTTTTTCCACAATTCTCTGAAAAGCAAGCCGAGATGCACGCAGCTTTTCCTTTGATAATCCCAGCTGGGAAGAGAGCAACCACCGGCTGGATTTGTCATCATAGCTGGGGCAAGTGTTATTTAAGCTAGACGCAGCCTGATTTCATGCTTCACTCACTCTCTCACACACACACTATCAATGTGCCAGGAGGGAACTGGCGAAGTGGAGAATCAGACACATATTTGAGCGCAATGATATGATGTTGTGAGAGACGGATTAGAACGATTCATGGTATTTTCACATTAGCATCTGCAGCAATGGTTTGACAACTGGGATGGACAAGAGTCCCCTGCAAAGTTTCGCTCTAGCTATGAGAGCAAATGCCATGACTACGAATAAATAGACGGAGCGAGAAACCTTGTCCTCCCCACTTTGGGCTTCATCTCGAGAGGGCAAACGCATAGAAAATCATGTTGGATCCTGATGAGGACTGAGAAGTACGATCCAGGCACACCACTATCTATCGTCAACGAACTGATGAGAGCTCTCGAGAGTACCACGTTTAGCGGATGATGCAGAGTTGGTACTCACACCAATAATTATCATGCTAGGCTCACAACGAGACCGCAAAGGTCCTTCTTTCACGGACAGACAAAGTCCAGGAAATTGACAATGCTTATCCTTCGTGCCGGAGGAGAAAAGATCTTCGCACCTCCACCAACAAACGCAGAAAGTAGCGGCCGCTGAGACACCAAGACGACCGCAGAGAGTCCAAACTCCATCCAAGCGAAGTGGCAGAAGTTCAGTTCGTGATGCGATGGAGAGAAGAAGGACACGCTCGGAGCTCGGAGATGCCATTCCACCGGAACAGGAAAAGTTTCTGATAGTGCTGGAGATGGAGATGCAGATGGAGAATCTCGAGTTGCGAAACGACCCAGAGTCAAAGGTGGCGGTGGCGAAGTAAAAGCCGATCGGATCGGTGCGGTCGGTTTGCGCTATTGGACTTATTGGACTGAACTGGGGACTGGGGATTCGGGAGGGAGGGAGTGGCCGGAAGCAGGGCCGGGGCACACTCACTCAGTGCCATTTACGGCGGGGGGTGTGGTGTGGGTCCAAGCGAGATGGCTGGGCTGGATGATGGATGGGATCGGGGAGTCGCGCTTCTCGCTCTCGTGTTCTGCGGGGGGTCGCCTGATGGGTCTGTGTCCACGACAAGAGTTGGCTCGCAGGCAGTGTTTGATTGATTGACGCCCCTAGCTCGCTGTAGGAGCTGACGGGCTAGAAAGATTCGAGAGCATTGAGTGGAATGTGTGGCCAAAGAATGCGTCGCTCGACCTGTTGGGGTCGAGCGTGACCTGGCCTCTGGCCAGTCAGAAGCTCAGCGCGGGCGGGCAAGTACTCTACAGCTCACGAGAGGACAGAATGCTGCCGGGGCGTATATAGCTCTGCAGTAGCTGCTCGCGAAGCTACTCGACGATGATCTCGACTCCCCCTCGCGGGCCTCGTTGCGGTCTGCTGCCCGATTAGTCGAGACCTGCTCTTCTCGGACAGGACAGGGCTGCGCGAGTTCCTGGGCCCGATTCTTATAGAACTAGTGTGCGTGGGGTTATCTTCTGGCTCGAGGCCTTCCTTGCAGCGTGCCTCTCGGACGTAAACCCGAGCATCCATAGCGTCCCCACATTGGAAAAAGAAAGTCTCGACCCTCGGGGGCACTGGCTGAAATTCAAGACGTGTCCAAGAAAATTCGCAAAAATTGTTCGGGTGGACTCGCGCAGGAACGGAATGTGGAGAGCCGGTGAACGTGGATAGACTGTGGGGAGCTCGGAATTGCTGGGACTGTGAGTCGACTCTGTGCATCGAGGTCGAGGTCGAGGTCGAGGGACGAGGCCAGGGCTGTTCGAGGAAAGAAGAAAGAGCAGAGCAGAGAAGAGCAGAGCAGCTCGGGAGGTGGCCATTCGCCCTGACAGGTGCATGGGATCAGCAAGAGCTGGGAAAATGAGAGTTGCAGTGGTCGGGTCCGGAGTGGCAGGCCTGACTGCTGCTCGGACTCTCGCTCAGTCAGGTGCCAATGTCGTCCTCTACGAGAAAGACAGCCACATTGGCGGCCACGCCAACACTCTGCACGTGGATGGCGTCGCCCTCGACATTGGATTCATGGTCTTCAATCAGGTACCTCGCATCTCCATTCCCTCCACGCCCGTCAGAATAATAGCGCCATAGATCGAGAGCAATCGAGTCTGAGCACGTCCACATCGATCTTGCCCGAGCACGAGAGCTCGAGCCCCACCACGAGAGCGAGCGAGCTCAAGATCTCGTGAGGCCGCCGCTCTCTCTCGACTGACGTAGTCCATGACCGCCGTGTGTCGCGCGGTCGGTCGGCCGTGGGCCGTGACGCCATGCGGATCGATGTCTCGGCGCGTTGTCGCCGTCGTGTTTTTGCCCCTGGCCCGCGCCAATTCGTTACTAAACCCTGAACCTCGCCTCGCCTCGCCTCGCCTCGGGTCACCTCGGGGTCGGGGTCGGGTTGGGTCAGGTGGCGTTGTTGCTGCTGCTGATGCTGCCCGAATCGGGCCGGGATGCATCTCGTGGCAGTGCCAGGCAGGCGCGCGGGCGCCAATGTCTAATGATGTGGACGCTGACTGGATTGATGGATGGAGCAGGTGACGTACCCGAACATGGTGGCGTTCTTCGATGAAATCGGGGTGGAGATGGAGAAGTCGGACATGTCGTTCGCGGTGAGCCTGGACGGCGGCAAGGGCTGCGAGTGGGGCAGCAAGAGCGTCGGGGGCCTGTTCGCGCAGCGATCGAATGCCGTGAACCCGTTCTTCTGGAACATGATCCGCGAGATGCTCAAATTCAAGGCCGACGTTCTTGCGTAAGAGCAGAATCTTGGCCAGACTTCCATTGCCCGCCCGTAATGTAGACAGACAGACAGTGAAAGAGAGAGAGAGAGAGAAATTGAGGCCAGGACCTCTGCCTTGTGAGCGAGCGAGCGAGTGAGCGGTTGATTGATCCACCTCCAATTTGGCTTGTCTGGTGGCTGGCTGGCTGGCTCCCGCCTGCTGTGCTTGCAGATTTCTAGCGAGAATCGAGAGCGGCGACCCGGGCATCGACGAGGCTACGACTCTCGGCGACTTTCTCACCTCGCACGGATACTCGCAGAAGTTCAAGGAATGCTATCTGGTACGCTCTTGCTTCTCCCTCTCCCCCGCGTGCCTCTGAGTCTCGAAAAATCAAAATGTAGCTGCTCATTTTCATCTCCATCTCCATCTCCCAGTGCACTTATTCACTCACTCATTTACCTAACTCTTCGGGTTGTGATTCTTGTCCCACGCGGGCTTGCAGATTCCGGTGTGCGCATCGATCTGGTCCTGCTCGTCGCTCACGGTCCTGGGCTTTTCGGCCGTCTCGATTCTCACCTTCTGCCGAAACCACCACTTGTTACAGGTCCAGTGCCGGACCGGATTCCAATTATTCCTCAAGGCCGCAATTTTTGTGTTCCTGTTTTCGCTGCCCAGTTTTTTTGTGTGTCTAGCGTGTGCTGCCGGGCTCCGAGAGCTCGGACGGCCATGACGGTCGATCGACGAGGACGGGTCACTGGTTCAGGTCCGGAGGAGGCCCTGTTCCGAGGCACGTTTGGAAATTGATTGTCTGGAGATTTTGCTGCGTGCAGTTATTCGGGCGGCCGCAGTGGATCACGGTGAAAGGCCGGTCCGAAACCTATGTGAGCAAGGTGAACACGACGTGCTCCCATGACCTTCGCTCGCACTTGGCCTCTTCTCAGCTCTTCTGTTGCGAAACTGTGGCATGGAGGCTGCTGCCTGCTTCTTGAGTGCCGGTGTGGCCGAGGATTGCACAATGTAGTAGAGGATACGAATTGACTTTTGATCTGCAGGTTGTAGATGAGCTTCAGGAGAGAGGAGCTGAGATCAGGGCCGCTACCGCCGTCACTCGCATAGAATCTCTCGATGACGGTATGTTCGATCTCATCTCCCTGCGCGTAAAATCTTGCACTCCCTGCAGCGTTTCGAGCGTCCCGCCTCCGAGAAGTCGATGAAATATGCAGACAGGGAAAGTTTCAGCTGGTGTTTCTCGCGTGCAGGACGCGTGCGCGTGGAGGATGAACGAGGTGGAAATGAAATATTTGACGAATGCATCGTGGCTGCACATGCTCCTGACGCGTTGGAAATGCGGGGCGAATATGCCACTTCGAACGAGAAGAAGATTCTGGGAGCCTTTCAATATGCTTACAGGTATGCCCTCCTTGCTCATAGCATTCTTCCGCATCCCCTCGTAGGCTCCCCTCTGACGAGCAGAAAGCAGAATCTCCAGGTGATTTGTGCGTGGAGAGAATGCACTGAACACGTTCTTACTAACGAATTTTTTTTAAATCCACCATGGCAGTGATATTTACGTACACCGGGACGAGAACTTCATGCCCCGCAACAAGGCTGCCTGGGCTGCTTGGAATTTCCTTGGTGATATCAACAATCGGTGTTGTGTGACTTACTGGCTGAATTTGTTACAGGTGTGGACATGAATGCCCAGTTGCTCTCAGTGCACTCTTGTCCAGATTCGATCTAACTTCACTGATCGATATTTTCCTCTGCCTTTACCACTGCGTTGGTTCTCTCTACACCTTCCTTGGCTTTTATCTTCCTGATCTCTCTCCAGGCGATCTAATCAGTACTAACAAAATGCTGATGAATATTTTACACCTGCAGAACTTGGGAGACACAGGTTTGCCTTTTCTGGTCACCCTGAATCCGGCCAAGAAACCTGAACGAGTTGTCAGTCTCTGGAGAACGAGTCATCCTATTCCATCACCAGAGGCCGCCGATGCCTCCAAGCGCCTGGGTTCTATCCAAGGTCATCGTGGAGTGTGGTACTGTGGGGCGTATCAAGGTAAGGAGCTGCTCTTCGGCAACTCTTAACCGTTCACTTCTGCATCAAAAACTATCGCCGATGAAGGCATTATCTCAGTCTAAACTTTTCAAATTAATTTCATTGAAGCAAATTCACTCCTCAGTGTCCCATGGCTAGTTCTGAAGCGAGGCTTTCCATTTCGCAGGCTATGGATTTCACGAAGATGGGTTCAAGGTAACCGCCAATTAGAGAATTTACTGAGCGCAATATCGGGCCACTTTCATTTGTACGAAATTTTATGCTTCACTCTGCACGAGTCTATCGTTTCCGGGCTGACAGGAATTTAGTAATTTTCCTTGACGCTGCCATGGGTGGATGTAAATTGATGAATGCAGGCTGGTTTAGTTGCCGCAAAACAGCTTCTGGGTCAGAAGGCAGAAGTGCTTCGGAATGTTAAACAGATGGTGCCTTCTTGGACGGAGTATAGTGCCCAGCAAGCAGTTGTAGCCGTCTTGCACAAATTCATACGCACTGGGCAGCTTCAGTAAGTTCGACTGTCTCGCTTACCTCTTTTCTTAACAACGTTGATAATTTAAACTGAGGAACGAAAATTCTCTCTGTCGAACTTCAATTTTCTGATTAGAAGATAATATTGAAAATTGAGTTGTGAAGTGGCATGCACTTTTGAAGCGCTGAAGGTCTCGTCGTTTCTAAGTTCACTCAAAGCCTTCCATAAGTTGCAGTAAAGAAAAGAACGAAGGAGTAATCTGGAAGAATTCCATTATGAAATAACTTACAAAATACGAGATAGCCTACAAAATCGGTTTCTTGTACCTAAACGGGCTTAAGCAGAATGCCTTTTTTTTTATTTCAGGCTTGACCTGTGTTTCGCACAACAGGATATTGGAAGCTGGTGGTTCGATTCTTGACTTCATAGGCAGTGAAAAGGGTTGCAGCTTGAAGGTTTCTATACGTGTCAATAGCCCGCAGTTCTACTGGAAGGTTTGTCATTCATTAGACACGCATCCTTTCTGCATAGTGAATGATCAATTATCTGTCTTATCGTTCCTATTCCATGCCTGTTGGAGTCTGTCGTGATTTTGTGTGTCACTCCACTGTGATACACACCTGTCCAAAAGATCAGTATTGGCTCAGCTCAAAAGTATCTGACCCGTCAAACATTGGCTTTAATTGTTGTATCCATTTGAAATCGGAGCGAAGTTTTGAGATGATGAAAATGTGAAAACTGATAACAGTCGTAATGCATTATGCTCCATCATGATGACAAACATCCCCCGCTTCGCCACGTCCGTGATGCAGATTGCTACTAGAGCAGATATTGGTCTTGCAGATGCATACGTAGATGGCGACTTCTCAATTGTAGGAGACAAAAATGGGCTTCTCCACTTCTTACAGGTTGGGCATCAAATCCACATACACACTGATGAAAGTCACTTTTGTTTTATCAATGAGCTCCTTCTGCTAGCATCTTCGCATCCTTCGGTATCCGCGCTAATCGCGTCGAATTTTTTTGGCACAGCTGATTATCGCCAATCGAGATATAAACCGATCTGAAGTCGTGAAGCAAACAAGGTACACTCTCCTCGTAAGCAGTCGACTTTGTTGTTTTGAGATGAAAATGGTATACCAAGTGAGCTTTATGGGGATCTGAGTCAAAAATTCATGTGCGCAGGGGATGGTGGAATCCAGTTTTTGTGACCGCAGCTGTCGGAGGAGCTGTTTCGTTTCTTAGACACAAATTGCGTGGAAATTCGCTCACTAATGCTCGTAGAAACATATCCAGACATTATGATCTGGTAGACCCTTGCTTCCCATGCAATTTGATCCTGATTAGGTTGAATGTCTTCCTTCTTTACATGCCCGAAATTTATCAGCGCCATTGAGGAGAGTTGACTATATCTGCGTAATCTTTTCAGATTGCTGTCCGTATGCGAGTGGGAACTCCTGGACATGTAATTTAACGCTTCTAATGCATGAAATATGTGCTGCAGAGTAATGAGCTTTTTGCTCTTTTCCTCGATGACACCATGACGTACTCCTCAGCCATCTTTAAGGTAATGGTGAAGGATGATCTGACTAGAGCGCAGTTCTCTTACGGAAAATATAATATCTTATTTTGATTACCACTTTAAAGAGTTCTGGACCTCTAGTTCGTCACGTCAGGGTCGATCAAATCGACGTGGTCGGCCCTTGATTCTAAATTTTCCACTGAATGACATGTGCCAATTCATACAGTTTGGTCCAATTGAATGACTATCTGATCTGCGTCTATGTGTTTTCCATACTGAAACATCACAGGGACCCAACGACACGCTGAAGGATGCGCAGCTTCGCAAGCTACATTTGATGATCCAAAAAGTAAGTTCCAAAATAATATACGAACTTGACGAAAAGTGCCGAGAAGCAGAATGCAAATTATTGTTCCAAAGCAGTGTACTCTACAAAGATCAAAGTAACTCTTTTTTGAGTGAGTTTGATCTATAGATTCTATAGATCTATCTGGCCTCTGTAGTTCTGAAAAGCTAGAGAAGTTCTTCTGCTACTAGTAGAGCCCAGCGATGGTGCCGGGTCTATGGTCTTCAAGGTATGACGGAAATATTCTTGAGTACAGATGAGTGATTCAGAGTAATTATATTTAAGATGCGGAGAATCCGAGTTGGTCTGGACCTCGTCTTGACTTCCCCATGGCGAGGAGCAAATGTACGACGGTCTACGGAGTTAGTAAGCTTGAGATTCCGCTGGCTGTGATTATTGATACTTCTATTGTGATCCCGCAGGCAAAAATAGAACCTCATCACGAGGTATTAGAAATAGGATTTGGATGGGGAAGTATGGCTATCGAACTGGTACGGCGTACTGGATGTAACTATACAGGAATCACGCTATCAAAAGAGCAGTTGGCCTTCGCGACGGATCGTGTTAAGCAGGAGGGTCTTGAGGTAGGAACTCCGACCATGTTCCACAATTCATTTCAAGCTTTAGACTGCAAATGTAACAACGGTTTGGACTTTTACTAATTCGCTCTATTTTCCTCTTGATACGAATGCAGGATAAAATTACTTTCAAACTCTGTGATTATCGATCTCTAGAAGGCCATCACAAGTTTAACCGGATTATCTCCTGGTGAGTACGCTACTACAATGAAGTACAAGTTGGACCAATATCTTGATGTACAACATGTTGTAAGGCTTGTATAGCTGGCTAGAAAATCAAGACGACTGAGTTTGTGGCATATGTCCATGTACGCCTTCCCCTTACTTCAACTTCATATGGCCCTCAAACTCCATTGTAAAAGTAGCTATCGATCTTGACTGCGACTATCGTGTGCCTCTGCATAAATTGCAGTGAAATGCTGGAGGCGGTAGGACATGAGTATTATAAGGAATTTTTCTCGAGATGTGACTACCTGCTAGCGAAAGATGGACTTATTGTTCTACAAGTAAGAATGCTAAACTCAGCGCATTTCTGAAGGCGAATAGTGTGTACCTGTCCGAAACTTATTGTCATTTCCATTTATGCACTTGCGACCAACGGAGGAAATTTGTAAAGATCTTGTCATGTGTGGATGGGATGGAATTTTAGAGTATTTTTGGGATCTTCATTTGTCTCTTTTTGAGGTGGCTCCTCACTCTCAACTACTTGCAGGTTATAACCATCCCCGACGAGAGATACGACGAATATCTCAAGAGCTCCGATTTCATTAAAGAGTACATATTCCCTGGCGGTAGTCTCCCTTGTATCAGTGCTCTGACCTCTGCCATGGCTGCTGGATCGACACTGAGGTACTGCTTTGTGCAAATTTCTGCTCATATATGTATGTATTTTATCTCACTTTGTGCTAAAACATATCACATCTGTACTGAATCACTTGTTCTCCTGCGACAGTCTGGAGCATTTAGAGAACATTGGCCTCCATTACTTCCAGACACTGATGTGTTGGCGAGAGAACTTCCTCGCGAAGGCCAGGTAAAAGACGAATCTACTTCAAGGATCTCTAGTGATCTATTAGCCAGTAAATTAACTTCAAAGCACGGATCACACTGTCTTAATTTTGGGTTGTTGTCCCGGTTTGCACAGTGAATGTAGAAAGCTCGGTTTCAGTGATAAATTTATTCGAATGTGGGATTATTACTTCATCTACTGCGCGGCTGGATTCCAAACCTGTACCTTAGGCAACTTACAGGTAATCCGACTTTTTGCCCTCCGATGACACGTATTTCTTTATTCAATGTATCTCCGTGCAAATTTTCCTCCTCTTTTTCCATCTGCTCTGGAACAACGGCAACTCGTCCTTTATCAACATTAAGCATCAGATTCGAGGGAATTCAGATTTTCAGAAATTTCGAGTATTTGTTAATCTTTGGTCACCCCTTGTACGGTCGCTCACATTTCTTAAGTGTGCTGACGTGGATTCTGTAATGTTAACTCCGCAGCTGGTCTTTTCACGGCCTGGAAATGTGGCTGCAGTTGGAAACCCTTACGTTAGCTTCCCTATGGGCCTGGCTTCTGATTCCTCATTGGAAGCCTTTTTAGAATGTAGAAAGAAATTGTGAACTGTAGAATTGTAATTACCATCGTACGTGGACTTTACCTTCTTAAAAAAAAAGGTTCTGTCGTTGCAGCACTATCATGATGTAAAGTGTCAAATCATCACTCCCTTCTGTATGAACGCATGTGACAAGATTGTCTGTGAAGTATCCGAAGCAGCGGTTTGCGTCGAATCACTTCAGAGCCTCATTAACCTAAAATGCAGAACTCACTTGTGGTTGTATGTAAGTGTTACGGAAAACCAACTTAGGATTGTGTGAGCATGATATATAACTCCAGTCATACCCGAAAGTAATATGAGTGACGTGTTTTAGCTACATAGTGTCAATTATTGCGAATATCCCCTCAGTTGATTTAGGGTCATAGTCATCAGTATTGATAGAAACTACGATTATCATGAAGCACACGAAAACGAAAGTAGGCTGGGAAGTCAAAGCCCATCTTCGTACATTGTAGCAGAAATGTGTAACTTCATTAACTTAAACCTCAATCCTATGGTAATTACAAACCGAGTATAGAAGTTTTTTGTTTTTTGAAGCAAATGGTGAGTTTATTCCGTAACTACAGATACGAAAACAGACACCGCAGCACAAACCGAGCTACCCTCGGATAGCTGGCACCATAGTTAAGTTGTTTTTTAAACCTGAGAAACCTACCATACCACTACCTGATGATGAAGCTACCTACATGAGCCTGCTCGTAATTCCATCAACTACCTTGCGGGCCCCTATACAAGAAAATGGAGTTATAGACCCACAGCGTCGTAAAGCTGCGAGTGGTGTTGGGAACTCGTTCTGGATGATGTTTCTTACTCCATTCGACCTTGTGACACGCCTCGGAGCAAAGTCAATAATTGCGTCTCAAAGGTTCCTCTCCATCACCTCCAGGGCCACCTGTTAGCATGAAACACGAGTTGATTTCTCTGAATCCATATCAACCAGAGGATTGTACCGCGTATGATCTACTATGTCGGTTGAAATGCCACAAGCTCTTGTGGAAGTGCAGTCCCGAATATGCATTGACTCCACGAAAGCAGGTCCCATACCATCCATGCACGTGGAGTTTTTGCCATGCCATGACATCAAGCACCGTGACCGCAAACGCCCATGCTTGTACCGCCATTTCGCAGCTGTAAATACAATGCTCCAATGTTTCGGCCACTCCACAATGACAACAGGGACATTCCGAAGACAATGTTGGAAATACCCAATGGCGCCAGTGATTAACCGCTACGGCCTTACGATATCTGCTCACATAAAAACTGCTTCTTTGCTAGGCCTTCTTCTGCTCCACATTTCACACCAATCCGCCTGAAAGGTTGCTGGAATCTGCCCATGCCACTTTTGGTGCACTGTACGACCAAGTGTCAATCGAGGATGTAGCATTTTTCGCCCAAGTATTGCACTGTAGGCAAAGAGGGAGTCTTCGTTGTCCCAGTACCAACGCCCGGGATCGAAAAAAAGACGCACAAGTGGAGCTAGGTAGTACAGTCAGGGCTTTGATGACGTGCGTTGGGCCTTGGGGACCGATATAACTCGGATCAAGATAAGTTTCCCCGGCACCGCTATTGTAGTTTCATCATCACCTGTATGATATGGGATGAGGTCTCTGGATTGTTCCCCAATGCTGTACCGGGTAATTCCTTCCGGGATGATGATGTCTCCTGCCTCATGCATTAGTTGCGGTCGGAAGTCCTCCGTCGCCAAAAAGACCACTGCTGAGTCGATATGCAGCGAGTCATATAGAAGAGGCCGAGCCAATCATCCTTGGGCGGAGTCAATGCATTGTCAATGAGTGGTTGCCAAGTCTCTGGTATACTCGCCTGGTATTGTTCTATGTTGGGCTTCTCCTCCTTGGTAAGGCCATATTGTTGTTTCAGATCTTGCCAAGGCCGCAGCACCATAGAACTGGGTTCCCACAGGTCGCAAAAACAAGTTAGACCGCTGTGGGCAAGTCGCCGGGCTCTCTGCAAAGAAAACCCAAAGTTTTCCCCCACAAAGTGAGTTGTCCACCATAAGTTTGTATCGAAGATCTACTCGGCGTTTGAAGGTGGGGGTACTTCAAGGCAGCTGTTAATTCCTCTCCATGCGCGCACCATGTGTGTCCAGAGCTTTGGGCCGTTGGGAGCGGTGAAGTGATATACCAGGCCCCAATGTAGACTCCTCGGCCACCGCCCAACTCTTGCAGGTTGGAAGCTGAACATCCGATGGCGGATGAGAATATTGAGTGGCGCATTCCTTGGCACTAGAGCTTTGACAAGCCATTTGTTCGTCAATGCGATAAGAGCATCTTGTGGATCTATGAGTTCCAGCCCGCCTGTTTTCTTATCTCCACAACAATCTCACCACTTCACTCTGGCCCGAGCATTCTCTTCAGTTTCGGCCCATAAGAAGTTGCAAAGAGCAGCTCGAATTCTGTTTAAGATCCTTTTGGAGCCACACCATAAACTGATGAAGTACCCCACAAGGTGGAAAGCAAAATGGAATTGACGATTACCGATCTGCCCGCAAACGACAATTGAGTTGTAGTCCAGAATTTGAGTTTTGCGGTGATTTTGGTTGCCAGAAACGCATCGACATCCACCGACTCTACCGAAATGCCAAATGGTGTGCCGAGTAGTTTGGACAGCTCTCCAGGCGCAGCAATCTGGCAACCGAAAGAATTCACCCATTGGGGAAGACATGTAGTGCCGAACCAATAAAGGGCATATTTGCCCCTATTCAAACGAAGCCCGATCGCTTGTCCAAAGTCCTCCAACAGCGTTGATGCCTCTTTTAGGTTGTGCCGAGAACCTTGAAGTGCGAAAGTAGTGTCATCTGCAAATTGGGAAAGAGTGTGTTGGGTCGTTCCATCGGGTAATGTGATGCCTCTGAGACGGCCAAACGCCACAGCAGCTTGAGTTGCATATGCTAGTGCTTCGGCGACGATCAAAAAGAGGAATGGCGCTAACGGACATCCCTGCCGAACACCCCGCTGAATCGGAAACTCAGATGTACACATACCGTTAATTGACACAGTCGCGGATGCATCTTCAAGAAGTAGCTTCACAATCGTTACCAATGTCTTCGGAATACCCATCCGCGTCAAAGCCTGGAATAAAAAGTGCCAATTCACCGAATCATACGCTTTTGCAAAGTCGAGTTTCAGCATGATTAATGCTTGGCCTGATTCCTTTGCCCACGCTAGAGTTTCATGCAGCACCAGCACCGTGTCTAAGATATAGCGAGCAGGGAGAAAAGCCTATTGACCCTCATGGATCATTTCGGGAAGAACTGTCTGAAGACCAATTTGAATCGTCTTTGCCAAAATTTTGTAGGCACTGTTTAACAGTGCGATGGGACGCCAGTTTTGGATATATTTCAGATCTCCAGTTTGTGGCAATAACACAACTAAACCTTTATTCATCCTCGGCGGTAGCTTCCCTTTAACGATGGAGTCGGTGATCATAGTCGTAAAGTCCTGTCCTAGAACATCCCAAAACTGAAGGTAGAATTCCGTCAAACCCCATCAAGCCCGAAACTCTTCCCATTGGACATCTGCTCGAGGGCAGTTACGCAATTCGGCATTATCTAGAATCCTATCAAGTGCTGCAATGACTATGATTATGATTATCGGGAAGCGGTCCACCAAGGTATTTAGTAATAATCCGAGGATTGTCGCTTCGGCAAGATCTGCTTGAGACGACCTGGATGCTGCAGCGTACAAGTCGGTAGAGTAAGCTAGTGCACAGGCTTCCACTGCAGTTCTCTCTGTGACCCGCGTTCCCTGCTCATCGTGGAGTGCTGATATTCGAGCCGATGGTCTACGTTCCCTGACAGCTCTAATTTTTTTTTTTGCTAACTTGGTCACCCTTGAACTTCCACCGGATGCGTGATCTGAGTTTTCTCCCTTCTAGTTTCCGGTCCTGCAGTTCCAAGAGTTTGGTTCGGCACTCCCCACGAGCCTGCATGACCAAAACATCATTAGGATGAATTTGATCCTGCCGCATAGCTTCCTTAAGATCTTTGGAAAGCGACTCCTTGTCTTTCCGAAAGAGCGCTGCTTTGATGCGGCACAGACCTCGGTAGAATCGAGTAACCTTGCGTAACTTGGCGAAGAAGGTAAGGTTGGGATGAACGTCCCTCCAAATGCGTCGAATAGATGGCACTGCTTCCTCCAGCCATTGTGAGTTCGTTTTCCAGTGTGTGATTCTTGCCGATTGGCCTTCCAATTTAATTGAAGCAAACACAGGATGATGATCGGACTTAGGCAAATCACCTTTGATCGTGTACAGGGAGAACTTCCGGTCTGGTGCATTTGCACTATTGTTGAAAATATACACTCTATCTAGTCGAGCCATAGCGCGATCATCTCCGTCGCGATTGTCATCTCATGAGAATCGCAAACTCCCAGGTGATCGTGAATGATCCTCGACATTAAGGCGGGTCTTCATTGCCTCAAATAATACACGTTCTCGGAAGGGGATAAGGGCGCCACTCTGTCTGGTAGTGTCTCCTCTGTTTTCCACCATATTGAAATCGCCTACGAGTACCCATCGGCACGACTGTGGTAATTCCTGGGGTATGGCTTCCCATAAGATACATCTGTACGGTGAATCAGTTGGGGCGTATATATTGACTATGCCCACATCGCCGCCCGCAAGGCCTTGAAAAATCAACCAAAAAGCTCGATTGTGAAGTATTGCACCATGGGCGCTCACACTCCTAGCCCATCTAGGATGCACTAGGGACATGACCCCGCCACGTCATGCACCCAGATCATCAGTTGCATCACCATATCCTACTGTGGCTTCAATGCTGTAGCAAGTAGTTTGCTGCCAAAGTCGACGGCCGGTTTGTTGTAAAGCTGGACCTCTAAGCTTGTGCTCCTGTATGTTAACGACGTCTGGTAACGAGTTGCATGATTGAATGTATCGTTGAATCGTATCCACAGCTGCATTGTCGTTGAAGCCACGAATGTTTATAGTCAAGAGGTTGAGCTTCATACTTCATCTGAAGGAGCTGCGGCGGCTCCGACGCTCTTGGTGGTAACTCTTCGAAATCCCCATATGTCGTAGGATGGAGGTTCAGCCGTGGCCGGAGTGTTGAGTTGCAGTGCTGCAGCTCTAAGGTTACGAAATGATACTAGTGGCGCCTCGTGTTGAGGGGGTGACTCAATTCTCTCATGCATCGCTCGCGTCGCGTTCATCATTGGTAGCCTCTCATCACCTCCCCGTTCGTTTGCGGCTTGCTCACCACCGTTAGGTCTGGGGAGCTCGGATTGCTCGCCCGCTTCTGCTTGATGTCGGATTGGAAACGAGGATCAAGAATGTAGGCTAGGCCGTGCGTCTTCAGAGTGGTCGACTTCCATACACTCGCTTGGTGGATCTCCATCCGATTCGATCGTCGAAAGAGAGTGCTTTGATGATGCACCCTACAACAGTGGAGAAAGGACCAACAGGTCAGGTGTCGGAGGTGGATGGGCAGTGTGGGAGTCACTCGCCGGGGATGGATGGGAGTAGCCAGGGGAACTGTGTGTTGGGGCCGAAGCCACTATCTCGCTTGAATCTCGCTTATTCTCCTGATGTTTCACGTCCCAACCTACTAGCCGTGTTCGGATGCGAGTTGGGTGAGTTGCTTGAGCTTGGTGCGCTTGTGGTTCTTGTACTACACCCTCTAGATGCGGGATTGAATCCGCTGTCGTTGCCTCCGTCATGACGACATCTAGGTCAACTGTTGGAACGTCAGGGGCGGTTGTCCCCGCATTTGTGGTCGCCACCAGCCCGTGCTTGATTCGTGGCGTCCATCTGTTCTTGCGTTGGACTGTGATACATCCGTCTGCGTCTGTGGACGGTTGCGGCTGTTGGTATGGGAACCGTCTCGGACCATAGCGTCTTCTGCGCCGGTCTTGCCTATTTGGTTGAGAAGTTTCAGCCTGCTGAGTACGTGGTTTTCTCTGGCCTGCCTCAACTCCGCCATTTATCACCTCTGCAGCTGGTCTCGAATTGCGCACTACACTTTGGGAAAGTATTCCCTTATTGATTTTAGGTCAGTGATCGAATCGATGTTGATGGTGCCCGCAGAAAGTGCACTTGAGTACAACTGCGTCATAATGAACATGGAGCCTTGCGTTACCGCCTGGGCTTGTTAACCCTCGAGAGAATGCGCTTCGAATTCACTGTGGTGCGAGCATCAAAACCCCTTTACGAGCTTAGCACAGCGGAGGCCGCCATCGCCCGAGCCTCCGTCCCCAGGCTTATATATTTCATATCTAGACTTACAGATTGGTATTCGAGTATGGAAGTTTCAAGTCGCCAATAGAAAAGAGCTAAATCTTTTCTCATCTACCATGAAGCAATAGAATAGATTAGAATGAAAATGAATAGATTGAAACTGAAAATCATAAATTAATTGTTTAATAGTGTACATCATACTTTTGTAGATCGTCACCACTGACAGTTCAGGTCCAATTTTATGACATTTCTCAATGAACCAAACGATGTTAAAGTTTTCAGTAACATCTGAATACTTTGAATTGACCTAAGCCGATTAGATAGGACAAAAATAGTCTGTAATCGCACCATTGCTGTTTAGATAGGTAAAATGATAACTATTCGGGGGGAAAATTTGACATACATCGACTACTCGCCTAAAAAACTGCCTGATAAATATTCCAATTGATATCGTCCACACTATAAAATGGTGGTGAAACTAGAGTATGGCAAAACGTTTAGAACACTACAAACTTTGACATATACCGTTAGTTTCGATGATGTTAAATCACATTTGCACTTGCTGCATTCTCGATCACCGGTTCAAATGTATTTTTGGAATTTTAAGTATCGTTAGCACACCTTTTTCATGGAAAGGTATTCCCTTACTTAGGTTCTAGTTAAAGTTACTCATTTCTCCTAAAGTGTATGAGCTGACTGGTTTGATGTATATGCATATAAAAGCATACATTTTCCCAAAAGAAACTTCATCATGATTGGATGGTGATGACATGGAGTACTTCCATTTGTTGCGGAGGTCTTCTTGTTAGTATGTCATCATTCTTCAATTCTCTTTCCAAGAAATGCTTTCTTTTACATTGCTGAGTTCAATCACCTATAGAAGATTCATAATCTTTATTCTCACTCAGTTTCTCACTTGATTCTTCACTCCCCTTGGTTTGCAACTAGATTTGGTGGCGATGCATGTGGAAAATTGAAATCGCATTTCATGTTGTGTGATGGTGAATAATCGGTTTAGAGTTGAAAGATGAGAATTTGATGACCAAGTAGTAGATTATTAGATTTTGATAACTTACATTTGTCTCTGATATTAAAGAAGCAGTTTAGAGAAAATAACTATTATAAAGTCATCAACTAACATTCATGAAGCGGATCTCTCAAACATGTATTATTTGCTGTGGGATAGTAAATAGCTCAATTCCATCATCATCAACGTTTGTTTTTCATGTTTGTCAAATAACACACAAATTATTGTTATAACATTGAGTACATTGCAAAGCTCTTAGTTCATCTTGTCATCCCACTTTGTCTATTCAATTTTAGAGGCAAGTTATCAAATTGCGATATTTGATTTAAACGGACTTTATTCTTAGTTCTATATGTGTTATTATAAATGAAATACTTTGGTACTTGGAGGTAGATCACTTCAAATTTCATGACGCAACACATACATCAAACTATATTGCTTGCACATGGATGTCATATCCCATTAGAATGATACATACACTTTTCTTTATCATCTACTTTCATTATTCATAAAATTGATTCTGATAATAATTATTAAACATTTGTGATAAAATCATGTCACAAAGCTCAGTATGGGAATTACATGAAGCTTTTTGACTAATTTGTTTGGTTTGATTGCATATTACATAGACTTAGTTGTCATGAAGTATTGTGCTACTTCAACAATATTGAGTAATTGTACATTGATTGTCTAATCACTTTTATGATTTTGATTTTGCATTTGGAATAGATATAGATATATATATATAGATATTTCAAGAATAAACTGAAATTTTATCATCTCCAATCTTCTGCATGTCTTGCACACCATGTATTAACTTTGTGTAGATACACATTCATCTTCAAAAAATCTACCAACTATCATGCCATATGAATTACATGAATCATTCATAATGTCGTATTATAAAAAAAATGTTTTCAATCTTGCACAAGCTTTTTTGTAATGTAATCTAAAATTTTCATATATTTTTGCTCTATTAAAGACATGGATTTATGTTGCGTTTGTTGATTTATCTTTTACTACATGCTCACATGTAGTAAAAGATGCATCTTAACAAATGCAAGTGTGTTAGAGATTTGGATGAGTGATCTACATATTTGAGACACAATCATTTTGAAGTTAAAAAAATTCATACAAATTATGTTATTTGTGATGTGAAGTATGACATTATTCAATAGAATGATCATAATGATTAAGAAAATGAATGACTCCAATATCCATTGAAGGTAATGATTAGGCCTCTGCTAACTTGACAGTTGTCAAATCTATCATAAATCAATTAATTATGGTAGCAATCAATTTTTATTAATGTCAAATATGACAACAGCTTTAAAGTGCTTGAATTTATTTGAATTGCTTACAAAACATGATGACCTATAGTGACAAATTCATTAAGTACAATTTATAGTGATCTTTTCTCCTAGCTAACCACGGAGAAATCACTCTTCACACGCATATTACTAGGGTATACACTAGCAAATCTTCTACAAAACGTAGATAATTTAGAAAAATGAGGTTCATTATTACTCCATGCTTCATGGAATATGATGGATACCGACAATGGATCAAATATTTGATCCATTGTTTTGCAATGTACATCTTCTCTTTGATAAGGAGTCTGTAGTTTTTTTTGTTTTTGTTCTAGGATGTCAATGTACTGGTTGCTAAATTTCTTTTCAAATTGAATCCAAAATTTGATGATGAGACTCACAAAGCTTTATGCAAGTATGATCGCAAATTTGCGAGGAAAACATGGGGTAACAATGTTGTCTTTGCATTGTTATCATACTTTTCTGACTCAATCGCATGTATCCCAACTACCAAAATAACTATTAGGTTTCCAACAGAACAAATCACAATATTCTTTTGAGTTTCAAAAAAACTATCAAATGACATCGCAATAAATAAACCACACCTTCGGAAAAAGTGCGCAACAATGTTCTTGGCATTTTAAAAAAATGTTTCAACACCAGATGATTTGATCTTGTTCTTGGATTTGCGATTCAAAAAATGAACCTTGCAATCTTGTCACGTCTAGAAGAACACGAGATGAATCTAGAAAAGGCGGTTTCCAACTATGTTACTAGCAATGTAGAATGCTGCAAGGTTTTGAACACAATGTCAATCTCTATATTGATTGGGATCAGTAAAAGTAAAGTAATCCATCACATGACAATCGGTTTGAAATCCAAAAAAAATTTGCTTTATGTACTCAATAATATGGCAACGATGAGTTAAAACCAAGTCAACACTTTTTTCAATGATAACCAACGAATCGTAACAATCTTTGAACATTTAGATTGCAGTTTGTTGATCAAGTTATGATGTCAACGAAGTATTCAATTGTGTCAGTTAGCGTCAAAGAATTTTTGTTTGAGATACACAAAAATAACGGCTTGAATCACAAGATCAGATTGGTGTTCATCACAGTAAAATCAAATCAAGTAGCAGCCTTCTTGTTTAACTTGATTAGAAACACAAATCACTATTTCATATACTTGGCTTGTCATATTACTAGCACCATCGCAGCAGGTTGATAATAGTGTATATTTCCAAAACGGACAAATTGCATCCATTGTATTCTCAAACGTCTCGAACAAATTGTCTTTGATGTGTTGACCGTAAAGAGAAAGAAAACATAAATGAAAACAACACAACATGATGTTTATAACAAATCTCATGCGAACCTCAAAATACAAGGTGATCTTAATAGTTGATGAATTGAATGAAACAAAAAATGCTACAATGAATTGGTTGCAACAAGCAAATATTTTGTGTACTCTTTAGGTTATTCGTTTTGTTTTTGTGATTTAGCCTCTACATTTGATGACACTAATTCTGGACCCGCTGAAGTTGGACTAAGATTGACTTCTTTGGCTGGGTTTTTTCTTTGTATCCCAATCGATGTGCTTATCTCTCCATAGAAAATGGACTATTTCCCCTAAAAGTAGTTACTATATGATGGAACAAGAAGTCCACCGGGTTGCAACCGACCACGTGGTACAGTACATAGTTTGCCGGAACTGAGCTCCGTTCGTTTGCGAGGGAACAAGAACTACACCGGCATAGCCGTTGCAACCGACACCACGTCACGGGTCCATTTCAGACCCGGGATAGATATTTGAGCGTTTTGCTTGCCTGAAACCGGAGCCTGCGGTGAGCACGGGACAGACCCGGAAAGCAGCGTTTCCAATCCGGCCTCTGTGTCTGTTTCCCGGTCGCAACCTGGCAATACCGGCCATACCTACAAATATATGTTGTGGCGGGCACTTCTCAATTCCCACCCTCCGTTGTAGTCTAGTTGGTTAGGATACTCGGCTCTCACCCGAGCGACCCGGGTTCAAGTCCCGGCAACGGAAGTTCATGTTTTCCTCCGGCTTATGAAAACTGTGAAAATGCGTTGTGATTTGTTAGGACAGCCCTAATGTCATGCCTCAAAAATTCCAGTCCTTTTTCGCCACCGTCAAGAACGGGATATCCCATTTCCAGGCTATGATTTATTCTTGCATCTCAAAGGATTCGGCACAGTACCGACGGAGGGTGCGGCTATGTGCATGTGTTATGGGGTCACTTTCCAGTTCTCCGTTTTTTTCTCGGGCTGTTTGATTTTCTTATTTATAATCTACTATAATCTGAGTGGTAGAAAGACAGCATGCTCAAATTCAGACTCTTGCTTTCCAACATCCTCCAGAAGCGAAGAGAATGCTCTTTGGGCGAGTCAGAATTTCCCAACTGAAAAAGTTTTTATTAGAAATTCAATAAAAGAGGAATATAGAAGAGGTTATAATCGTCTAGTCCCCATAGCACTGTCATACCTTTCCACATAAAAGATCAAAGGGTACAAGTAGATAACAACGAAGATGCATAGACCCGTCAAGGAAGAATAAGAGATAATAAACCACTGGCTAGTTCTCAACAGTATTAGAATGTGAAATATGTCATTGGCACATGCTTTAAAGAGAGTATCTCTAGTGTAGTGGGAATAGGCCTCGCAAGGTAACGTAAAAGTTAATCGGGTAATAAAATGTGTTCTACCTTTACTCTACCATTACCCTTACCACATTGGTCGCGCTTTACTTATACCTTTACCTCTACTTTACCCTTTAACCGGATAATTGCCCAATAAAATTTAAAAATTCATTTTACCTTTACTTTACCTGTTAAACGGGTAATTATCCAATAAAAATGAAAAATACACATTCTCTTTAATTTATACGTTAATCAGATAATTACCCAATAAAATAAAAAATACATTTTACCTATATTTATTCATCTACGTTCTTAAATCACCAAATGGTTGCACATGATGAGAGTTTTCTTATGACAACTTCTGAACATCAATATTTGATTCTCTTCATTTCTAATGAATACAGAGATTATCAGTTTGCCAATAATAAGCGAAAAGGTTAATTTATTATCTAAATAAAAAATATATAATATGTATAAATATTTTTGTCCTATTTTTAAAAAAATCTTTCGATATAAAACATGAAAAAACTGTCTGTGAAGGATGAAAATCCTTCATCATTTTCTATTCTTAACCTATTCTTTTATTCAAAAGATGACTTAAAATACACAGGGAAAGCTTGAGCACCATTAGACAATTGTATTATTTATGTCAATTAATTAACAATCTTAGCATATCAACCGGAAGACACGTCAATGCTTTTGTTCTGATATACGATTATACACGTATTTATAATTATTATTCTAGAAGCCTTAAGTTTTGTTATATACAAAAAATCGACATATAAGTATTGTCAACTTAACAGGTAATTACTCGGGTAACGGATAAGTAAATCGGTATTATTTTTACTCTGCCCTCTACCTCACCCATTGATAATTTTCCTATCTTTACATTTAACTTTTACCGTTTACCCTTGAGTAGAAGGTATTTTACGTTACCTTGCCGAGGCCCGAGTGGAAAGTAGTGTCTCTATTTTTACTCGACGTCATATATTTTACCCCCCAAAAATAAAAATAGTACATCAAGGGCTAAGTATCAAAGTTTACTTTGATCGGATAGAGTAATAATTCTCACTTTCAGAGAGAACAAGAAATCGCAATTACACCAAATGCATGTTTATCTCATGTGTCCCTGGCTTTAGTGCGGACGAGTATAGCAGTAAGAAATGCTTTGAAAAACTTCACTAGCGATCAAGAAGCACTCTTGAATATGCGAATTTCCACATCCTCGTGGCCATAGCCATAACCTTAGCCATACAGAAAAGCGGTCGCAGTCTTCGAAAGCTAACAGCTTACACATTATACAAGCTGTACTGTACTCGTTCGTAGATGACTTTAACAGCTCGGAGGCTATGGAGTGAGATGCTCCGGGAAGGTTTAAGCGCTGGGAGGAAAATTGTTAGAAGTAGAATTTGGAACCAATAGAGGATCGGGAGTGAAGAGTGTGTATCTTGTGTAGTGGAACTTTTTCTCATAGTGATATCATTTTACCCGAATAAATAAAATTTCTAACAAGGGTCAAGTACCCAAACGTTGAATATTTCTTATAGCACATTCTATAGCTGATCCATTTTGGAGATATTTGATTCATTTGCATCTAAAAACGATTTTTACGTTCATTCTCGCATTACATGATGATTTTTTTCTCTCTTATCTGATTGTTCCATATAGAACAATGAAAAAAATTTTACTCAAAATCAACCGTAACTAAAAAATTCCCATACAATTTACATTGTTCAAAATCAATGCAAAAAACAAAATCAATCTGACCAAGTAATATTTCTTTTGCAAACATATCAAGTTTTTGTGTAGAAGTCATGATCTTTAGTTCATTTTAAATGTAAGTTATCTAACATGAAGAAGTGCATAAATAGTCATTTACTTGCAAGTGACTATTTATCGTTGTCCCCTCGGTGATCCTTGAGTTTGTTCGATGTGAATTGATTATGTTTATTTAGTGTTTGAGCCTGTACTTTATATATATTAGGAGAAGTATTTATCAAGATATTTGTAGTCTTCAAAGTTTCATCTTAAGAGTGATATATCTGTTATTCTTTAATGTTACGATACAACAGTATAAACCCCTAATAGGAAAAGAGTAACCTCCCACCTCATTACTATATTTGGAAACCTTGGCTCCCATTCTTTAACTCCAAATGGAAAATCACTAGGAATAAGTGTGAAGGGTATAACTGGCACTCCGGAACCAAATATAAATATGACTCAGCCCTGATCTCCTGATCTACTGCAAGCTATTCCAAGGATCAATCAAGGGACAATATTATATATATATATATATATATATATATATATATATATACATACATACTACAATGCGCACACAAAAGTTCTTCCCAGAGCAATGGAGATCCTGGGTCTGAAAGCAACAAAGTGTATTCATTAAACTAGACGAGAAATCCAGTTGAGATCAGGCTTCATCGATTGACCTTGGCAGTAAAATGGATCCCAAAGTTCCAAGTCGGAGTAGACTATACCAGACCACTCAACCGCCATGCCAAGTAGAGATTCTAATCAAACTCACTGGCCGTATGACCGACCGTACATACTTCGAAACTTGGCCCTACGGAACAATATTTTGCGTTCCCACTTTATTCTCTAAAGCAAATGCACATTCTATTCTAGACCTAAAGGGGGAATGTGTCCTAGAAGCACAAAAGTTGAATAAGCATTTCATGGATTAAACCAAAAGGGGTGCCAAGGCACTGGCCTACCATACGTCCAGTAGAGCGTATATCTCCGTGTGATACTTTGGGGACGTAGTAGTAGCATGATCTGGATTCATGCCCGTGTACTTGCAGGGCTCTTCCCGTACGTTTCCGGCATTACTCGGTGTCATTGTCCCCCCGGATATGGAACTCGGAAGGTCGTCCAACATTCCTTCGGTCCCGGCGGCCTTGACGTCACCGTCAACGAACGGAGTACGGAAACGGAAGGCCGGGGTCCGTGATATCCGACGGTAGAACGGACAAGGATAATGGCCACCGGAGTACCCGGACCGTCCTTTTCCAGGGACCCGTGCGGTCGTGCCCCGTGGCCGATGCCGTCAGCAGCTCCGGTTCAGACAGACGCTGACGGAAGATGATCTCCTGTCCCCGGAACAGGAAGGAGTTTCGTCGCCCAGCGGTCACTGAGATGCAAGGCCCGCCACGTGGCTGGACGTCGTAGCCGACTTCCTTCTTCGGCATCCCGGTCAGACTCGAGATGCCGCGTGGCACTAGCGAGCTCGTGAAGCTCTCCCGCACGGACGTCGGCATGGCGTCCGTCCGTGTGGCTCCCGTCGGCGACCCTCGATTCGGACCGACGGTTAGACTCCGTTCTGACAGCGCCCGAGTGGGCTGAGACCCGGCGTGTCAAAGCGGCCTCGCCGGCCCGGAAGTGAACGGAGGGCTCGGAGGCGGCGAGGTCGAGTTCCCGGGCTTGATCTATTTACCATTTACCATTTACCGACAACGGCGAGCTCGAGCATCGTGGACTGCTGCCTCTGCGGGCCTGGACCGATTTCGCATTGCGAACCGATGATGATGATGGCGGCCGAGGATCAGAGCAGAGCTGCCGAAGGGCAGAGGAATTGTGGAAATGTAGGGGAATTTCTGTACACCGCGTGCTACTGGTAAGCGCAAATCTTCCTGCTCCTCCCCTCCTGATCTTCTCGATCGATCGATCGATCGAGAAGAGAAGACAGATCGGTCGCTGAGGACATGGCATTTGATGGCGAGCGAGGTTTTGGTGTTTGGATCGAGTGTGAAGTCAGAGCGTTGGTTCCGCTTTTAACTCTAGAAGTGCAAGAGCGAGTGTGCCTCTGATGCTGACATGTGCAGCGAGGAGAACATCTACATGCTCTGCAAAGCCCTGGGGGAGCAAGGTGTGGCTGCTGCGGATCTTTCCGATCTCTTCGTCGTCTTCATCTCGAACGACTTACAGCGGGTACGCCTGGGCGATCACCTATGGCGAAAGAAATCCCTTTCTCCGGAATTTTTTAAATGGATCGTTAGCATTTTCACCTGACCCTGCTCTTTGCCTAAACTTCGGCACGAGCATCTGTTGTAGAAGCAGCCGGACTGTACTGAATTTCTCGTGTGTCCTCCTCAGAATGTACTGTCTCGTGATCGTCGCCTTAGCCATGAGGGTGATCGACCCAATTTGCTCGCACGCATTGCATGACATTGTCTGACGAATTCGCGCAGGTTCCCATATGGCGGCAGAAAAATTGCTCCTCCGGGTCGGAGAGCGTCTGCATCTGGGACTATCATGTCATCTGTATACAGGTCACCCACCCACCCACCCACCAGTCATCCCTGCATGCATGGCCTTAAATGTTTCTTTCTTTCCTCTGAAGATTTCCGTCCCATCGAAGCAAGTCGTCCACGCAATTTTCTTGCAGAAAATTCGTACTCCTCTAATCATCATGGCCAGAAATCAAGTCGTCGTGGCGGGTTTGCTGATTCTGAGAGTATGTACGTACAGAAAGCAGGAGCTCAGGAAGCTTTGGTATGGGACCTAGATACCACACTCTCCCTTCCTGTTCCTTTGAGCTCGTACGTGAAGGAAGCTTTCAAACCGGAGATTGAGCTCGACGAATTGTACCTCAGGTGTGGCCTGAATCTTCAAACTCCACAGAATGAAGTGACAGGCGAGCTGTGAATGCACCAGAATGGATGATCATTGGGATGAGCTTCTAGCTGTTGATTTGGCTGAAAGGGAAAAAAGATAAAAGAAAAAAAAAGGGCCACATCGAAGCAAACAAACGATGATCAGGGGAGACCAGGGCTGGCTACGCCCCAAAGCAGGCGTCGGTATCTGATCGAGAACTTGTGAACCAGCTCAGCGATGTGGACATAGTCAATTATAGGGTTGGTTTCGTGCAAATTGCCTGCCTGCCTGCCTGCCTGCCTGGAAGAATGGAGTCAAACGAGCTTGAGCCCTTCCCCCTGTGCTGATCTGATGCTACTGAGCTCGTTGCCCGCAGGCTCTTCCGTGTGGTCAGAGCCTCCACGTTTCTGAGAACGTTTGCGTCTGACAGGAGACACATGAGGACCCCAGAGGGAGGCTGGCTCGCCCCTCCCCCGAACTACGAGTGCATCGTAGCCGAAGGTAAGAGCATAGTCTGTCTGCCTGACTCGTGGACTGCCGTGTTGGACTGCCACGTTGGATTCCCCAGGAGTAACACTAGTTATGATATTGTTCGTTCGTGTTGACGTGGAGCTGACTCGGGTGCAGATGGAGAGGCATATAATCTAGAAGAGTACAATAGAATGGCCCAAGGCAACGTACAGCACGCGTCCGACGAGGACTTGGACAAGTCCATGAGTGATAAATACGGCGTGGTCCTCTCAGAAGACGGGTTTGTTAAGGCATTTGCAGTAAACAGAAGCCGTGCACCTCTACAGATTCTGGATATTAACAATCATCAACTTGTCATAAATGGGTGACAATTAATCATTATTTTAACTTTCTCCCCGACTTCAAACTATTGCGTCTTGTATCGAACTGATGGACCTTTTTCATGCCATTTTCGAAAAGCCCCGTCTGTACAGTCGGCCCCCTCCACAATCATCCGTAAGGCTTTGTTTACGATATTCAGCTGTGACTGTATTTCCACTGCCCGTAGGTACGAAGAGCCGAAGATTCGAAATAGCTTGACGATTTACACGCACGATAAACTGTTAAGTTTGAGATTGAAAGTTCATAGCACTAAGTGTAGACCGAAGTTGCGAGCCGTTTAAGATCGAAAGTTCATAGCAATAAGTGAAAACCGAGTTGCGAGCCGTTTAAGATCGAAAGTTCATAACAATAAGTGGAAACCGGAGTTGCGAGCCGTTTTAGGTGAAAGCCTCAGTTACGGTTCTTGACTCCTTCACTCTATATCGAGTGCTGCTGGTTTGGCTCGGAAAATTTCTATCAATTGATGAAAAGGGTGCCTCCCACGGCATGCCCACAAATTCCGTCTTGATCGATATAGGAACAAATTATACACTTAGCTGTCGTCAATGATCAACCGTCATAAACATAAGATTGCCTGGAAATCGTCCCTCAAAATTGGGCGTGAATGAAGAAACTGTCGTGTAGGTTTCTCTTACATCGGAATTAGGGTGTAAAACTGTTAAGACCTTCTCGTCATACGAGACAGTACGAGGATAGAAGGGAATCGGAGAGGACCTAAGAAAGAGACCCATACACCAGAGTCGAAAATCAGCAGCGAACTAATCTCTTCCGAAGTATTGAACACTGAACCGTTCAAAAGATGATCATTTCCTGACGCTGCTTTGATTTGAAAAATTGTGCGACATAATCGACTACATACGCTCCGCTCACATCTCAGTTGAGAGCGACCTTCAAGCTCTCCTCCTGTTGTATAGCTGAGAAAGCACTTCAGGTGACTTCCGGCGAAAGACATGACGGGCTCAACTGCTTGATCCTCCGCGCTTAACAATCGCGTGAGTAGCTCTTGTTGAACCGGTCGAAATCTTCTCATGAGGAAATGGATGGGAAGTGCATCGCTGCATGAAGACCGACTCCATTATATGTAACAGACATACTAATCAGTGTAGGAAGACGACTAGTGATACGCAAATGCAGAGATGCAAGTAGAATGACCTCGAGCATTCGGAATGGAAGGCTCAGCACGGCAAATGACTTGCCCATGAAACGCAGATCACATCAGTTTTAGTCGAAAAATAAATACCAGTGATATTAGAAACCTCAATCTACAATGGGAAAGCCTCCTTATATGTTTTCTAGTCATGTTCAGACCTGTCTAGGCAAGGCTGAAAAACGGGTTGGACATAGTTCCACACTCCACACGGCACAGCACAGCCTTCGATCGATTCCCAAGCGAACACTCACAACATGCAGTGACGGACCTTTCGGAAGGAAGACAACAAAAGGTTCCAAGAGGCAGAGCACACATCCAGACTGGGGGGAGAAATAGATGTTGCATATGGCTAAGGATGTAGCCTGGAAGCAGCTACAAGTGGGTTCTCTTCGGGCTTCGACGTGTCAGAAGTTTACAGTATGGTACTTTAAAAAATCTCTATTGTTTGCAATTGCGGGTAAATTGCCGTCATGCTTTCGTACAGGGAATAATGCGTTTCTACATTTACAACATGTGATGGCCGAGTAAGCCAGTAAGAGGTACTCTAGTCGATGTCATTCTTGACGTTTGCAGTGGTGTTATGGGGGTACGATGGCCACATCAAAACTTGTGTACTCATATCCAGCGTCCCACGTGATCCAGCAGCTCAGCAAATCCTGCTTCGGTACTCTCTCCTGCTTGATGAAGGTTTACGCGCTTTGTCTAAGGAGAAGCCTGAGAGTACTTATGCTCGACTAGAAGACCACGCAGCAAGTCCGCTGATCCTCCTCGAAGTACGTTCTTCCCAGCCCCTTGGCAAAAGAATCATGACGGCTGAAGGGAGTCATTGTTTCTGAATACTGATCAGTGCTTCCGCACGTCCAGACTAGTTGTAGACATGTCAAAATTTGCCAAAACCAACAGGCGACAGTTTCGGTTCAATCTGGACTCCCTAGGTCACGAGGGAGATAAATGAGATCTAGATGTCAAGAAGTGGGCAAAAAGCAGGACCATGTAATAAGGGATAAGCTCAAACACATCCCACGCTGAAACACCTGCCAGGAAGACCTGCCAGCATAGCATCTCCTTCGCCAAGTTGCTCTTCATAGACGTGGAAATTGCATCAACTTCGCATCCTCAGAAGTCTCTCCTCTGTCCAGATTGTATCAAGTGATATGATGAGCTAGATTTTATACAAGATGAGCAACATTGCGTGAACTGCTACTGCCTTCGTGGAGGGAGGTTGTAGTATGACACCGTTTTCTTGAACGTCATGAAATGACCAGGTCCTCCCTGAGCTCTGCTCCTCCCAAGCCCTGGATTGCGCGCTTGAAATGCCTCCCTCCGTGCTATTTCAGTCAGTGCCTTCGCCCTTGCAATGGACTTCTCCATTTGAGTTGAATATGCCTCCACAAAAAATGATATTACGACATTGAGCGCAAAAGCAACTGTGATCAACCAGAAAGCAATAAAATACAATCGGGACCAATCGCTTTGAGTTGCCGCGGAGTAGCCTTCCATAATGATGTACCAATTACCCACAATGCACAGATTCAAGGAGGTTGCCATTGCCGATGCGTAGTCGTTGTAGTTGAGTACCCAAAGGCCTGAGGTGGCGTACTGGGTTCCTTCTAGATGTACATTATCCTTGTGTACGACGCCTTCGAAAAGATGAACACCCAGAAGAGCGAAAATTGAGCAAACACAAAATTGCATCCCGAGAATGGGGGCACAAGCTGAGACCATGCGAAGAAGTGTCTCTGACTGAAGTTTCCATCGGTTGAAGTAGCTGAAGACGACGACGGCTCGGAACGACCGTACAATCAGCAGTATTGGCACCCTACAAGTTCAAAGATCAATTTTTAGTACAACAATGGCTTTTTCTTGAGAAAACCCGCGTTGTCTTCATTCTTCTCATAACCAGGTAAAAACCCTTGAATAGACTCCAGGAGAGTGAAAACAAGAGTTGGACTACTTAAATGTAGGAGCAGTAGGAATTTCATGAAAGTAGGATTGGATCGTACCACTCTCCAGCCGCAGGGTACTCATATGCTGCCAAGTGAGTCCCAACGATCATCGCAGCAAAAATGAAATCGAACCAGTTCAGTGGGCTTTTCCAGTAGAGCCGCCTACCCAGCACCAGGATCTTGACAACAGCATCTAGAAGGAAGAGGCAACCTGCACGATGAAGTAAGGTCAGCAACGACCGAAAACCTTGTTCGAACCCTGTGAAGAAAAGATAGAAGTGACTTCCCATCGGCAACGTCCTTCGCAAGAAGGTAATTAAAAATGATACGTACCGAAAAAAAACTCCATGTTTACCAGCACGTTGAGCGATGCAGGATTATTTACCTGAGCGGACAAGAAACACGCGAATCAATATGATAACCTTGATTCTTCCCAAAATTTTCAATCTGCTATTTCATACCTCAGCTCGGAACATTAGAAGACAACAGACTTTGCACGAGTTTGCAATTCACCCATCAATCACCATAACATTAGCTGCACATGAAGAGGCTTTAGCTTTATACGAGCTTTAACTTTCATCTTATCACACAGCTTTAGGGAGTCCACTCACACTTCTCGCGGAGATTGCCACTGCCACTGAAATCATTGTTGCCACCCAAAGAAAGTAGTCATAGGCTGTGTTTTTCACAAATTGGAGGCAACCAAGAAGCCACATCATCTCGAACTGACGGTATCTTGAAAAACTTGCAGCCTTAGGCCGCTTTTGGACCTCTTTGGCTATCACATCACAAAGATCTTCAAAATCGTCCGACCAGATTTTGAAATCCCCCCGCTTGTTAAGAGCCAGAAACAGCTGGCTGGTGCGCGAACGAACATCAGGGATATGTCTGCAAAACGAGATAACGATAGAAGCGATTCTTTCCGTGTCAGGTCTTCCAGACGCCCATGATTCGACATTGACACAAATCTTCAGGACGCGTGACACAATTTACATCGAGTAAATAGAGACTACTCTAAGATAGCATAGCATGCAGCTCACCTGTAATTCCCAATGGCTAAAAACAATGCAATCATGGTTGGACCATCGATCCACTCTTGGTGGCGTGTATCCAACAAACTAAAAGCTGCTCTCAAGCTTCCTTGTCGTGCTGTAACTTGTTTCTTGGCTTCGACTGCCATCTGCCGAAAAAGTTCATGCCATCAGGATGAGTTCTGATATAGACGAGTTGGAATAACAGAAACGCCAGGATGATTCAGCATTGCTTAGGAAACTCTCAGAAACGAGAACAGTCATACTGAGACAGACAACAGGATGCTGCGTGAAGGAAACGAGAAGCATGTATACGTAAGACAGTTGAATTTGTGACCTGGCTGTGATGTTAAAAACTCTATCCCAACTTGAAGTGAAAAAAAATAATAAGTGAGCATCAATGGCACGACAATTTTACCTGTCTTTTGAAGTTGGTATATATGACAGCGAAGGCAACATTCATCAAAAAGAACAGTCCAACGATGAGGTATATGAACAAGAACAGGACTGCAAGACGATGAGGATAGGCTGAAGACCAAACATCGGCATCGTTAGCTGCTGTCAACAACGAGAAAAGCTTCAACAGCGTCGATGGATAATCTTCGAACTGCTCCTTCATTATAAGTGTCCCAAGCCAAGCGGATAGAAGGATATACACCAGGACCATGATCTGCAAAAGACACGGGCGAAGTTGCACAAACTTAACATACACAGTAGGCTGTGACAGGAGGGCACCGTGTACCTTGCTAATGCACAACACTACTGTAACCACACAGCCCTCGTAATACTGAGGATTCAATTCAATAATCATCTCTCCGCATCCATTGAGGACACTCCAAGGTTGGAGAACAAGTGCTTACTCCAATGTCTAAGAAAGCCTCCGCAATGCGTAACGCTACGCGAAAACAGCCTCGCAAAGCCCTGCAGTAATTTCAGAATTTTGCAACTGATCAACAAAAACTCTAATGACGAGTCATCGTCAGACGTCAGAAGGAAAATACTCAATATCATGGTGTCCTCAACAATTCTCAGTACTCCCATATATACACATCCGACAGGACTCGGACAAGGGAATACAGACCAAAACTTTTAGTCCAATATTTCGAGCACAAGCATCTTTAAGTGGTGAGGTAATCCATGCCTGAGGCGAGAAGTCAGGTATACCTGCTGAAAAGTATAGGAATTAATACACGTAAATACATTGACACCTTTCTTCCTTGCAGCACACCCATCCACTGCACCTCGGCCACCGTGATAGACATACTGATGGCTAGCGAAAACAGCAACACCACCTGTCCCACAATCATTCTCAGGAATCTGCGTTCTTGAAATGAAGGAACCTAGATAACTGTCACTTCCACAGGAATCGAGACTAATGAAATTCTCAGGACAACATCAAGCAAATGTATCCAAACTAATTCCCAAACTGAGCACAAGCTGAACAAGAGATTTCATTCAATTAAGATCCTCAACAACTGCCGTCTACAACACAAGGAAGTACAGCCTAAAAGATCAGTAGCACACCTTTACGATAGTGATATGATTACTCCAAAAACTCAAAAACTTGAAATACCGCTGCAAAGCAACTGACCATGCCAGCAGAAGCAGGCACACAAGCTGTACATGTCACAAACGATATAAAAATTGTTTAGTTTAAAACGCGATCCGAAGAATACCATGAAACCATACTCCGCGCAAGACCAAAAGAAGGTGTCGGCACAGTTCAGATAGCTGAGCCAATCAACAAGAAAGATTCCTGGGAAACAGATGCTCTTAACAGTAGAAAACCCCACCTCCACCGCAAGAGTAAGCCATGGTGGCAGGTACCAGATACCACTCAATAGGAATCTGTCCGCATCTCCACAGGGATTGTCTGCAGGCCCCTGACACCATTCTGGCACCTAGCAACGAAATTACATCGCAAGATTTAGATCTCGATATTGATTGCCAACAGACGTGGCCCCTCTATTCACATTTACTAATGCTTCCTTCCCTGTTCAGAAATGAGAGCGCACTGCCACGAACTTTCAAGCCCCAATTCTCCTAAGAAGGTGTACAGTATGTTCAGCTGTTAAGTCGCCCTCTATTTAAACTTGCATTATCTTGGAGGTTATCGACAACCAAAATATGTCCTTGAACCCCGTTAAGAGGGTAGAAAAAGGTGGAAGAACCTGACCTCGAACAGTGAGAGCCCGATTAGAGTCACCAGCACAGCGCATCTTGGATAAGAAAGGTGATGATAGAGTAGAAACGCCTGTTTCGCACTGAGGTAGTCCTTGTGATGGACAACATCTAGAGGCATCCAGCGACCTAGCATCGCCTGCAACTCCACATACTGATGATCAGCTTCGGTTTGAATCATGCACTGTCACCTTCAATGGCAGGTCCGCCTGCCCAAAGAAAATGACTATCCAACAGTTTCCATCGCATCCTAAACGAAAGAGACATTCGCAGCTCCGCAGACTCCAGACGTCAGCCGGTTACGTCATGACACAAATTTAAGTGTCAACCCAGTCTAATCTGTTGTTCGCTTAAGGCTCACAGAGCTGAGAGTCTGGGGAGGGTTCGCTCGAATGCAACGCTGACCCAACAGCAAAATGTTAAGCGTTGTTTCGAATTCCTATGACCTGACGACTGCTGAGTTGACAACGATGCCAGTCGAAGTAATGAATACTCTTTAATCCAAAGCAATGGTCTGGAGATCGCGAGGCGTCAATACGTGGAACACATAATGCACACTGTGTATGGCATCCCCAATTTCGATGGATCGTGCTTGACACTGGCGGTCCCTAGTACCGCTGTAGGATCGTTGAGAATTTCTGCGAGTTACTCTACAAAGTTGTATACCGGTCAGATATCGGACCCTGCGACGCCTCGTAGATATCGTGGATCGCATGCAACTCAGACGTAAAACACGCCAAATCGATCATGAGTAAGGCCGCGTGGTCACAACTGTCATCGAGCTGCGCTGAATGGAACCGACGAGAAAGCCGGACCTCAGAGAAAGGCAGGGCCAGGACAGGTTGAAAATGCACCTGATCGACAAGAGCAGCTGCCTTCTGTATATTGGAAGTCAAGTGACTGTCGTGGTTGACATCTGACATCGTGGAAGCCGATCCCTTCACGTCGGCTGCTGTTTCTGCGCGTATGCGATGTAAAAGAGGGTCCGCCAACGTTTCTTCTTCGATTTCGGGAAGAGTACTCCTCTTCCCTCTCCCCTTTTTGTACATCTTGGCCCTCATCGGCTGCCAAGATCACCGAGCCTTGTCAAATACACTCCTCTTAGGGTCAGAAGTCAAGAGTAGCACAATCCAGAGGAGGCGGTCCTGTCCGCAAATCACCACTTGATCCAATTTCTCATCTTCATCAAAATCTCGACTCCGCCACAAATATATATAAAAGACGGTGCTACGCACTGAGCTGTTGGAGGTACCAGTAATTTGCACTTGAATACTCCTCAGATCCTAGAATGAACCCCGATCAACTTGAAGGACTTTGGTTCTCGGACGTTCGAAGAAAGTTGAATTGGTGAGCTTGAATATCGCAACGAGCCGATTCCAGATAGTGCTGCCAATTCAGTCCAAAACAGTCTCATACACTACCCGGATCTATCTCACAGAGGAATAAATTGTCCGCCCTCCCCATTTCACACGTCCACTCTTGAGCTCCTTCACGTAATTAGCACAAGCTAGGTCACTCGAGCCACACAACCGGGGCTTTGTCGGCAGATCGATGTAGCTCGCGCTAAACCTTCAATCCAAAATCACCATGGACACAATCACAGTTAGAGACAAGCAGGCTACATCCTGCCGGAAGAGGAGGAGGAGGGGGAGGAGGAGGAGGAGGCCGTCCCCAACCTACAAAGAAACTACACTGTATATAATCGTGGAGATCCACAAACTCAATTCTATCCCACAAGCCGGCCACATCAAAAGAAAATGTGGACAGAGATAGAAGAAATTCCTGCGAAAATACTCCAGGCTCGGGTTCGCAAATCCCTAGGAGCATAGAATCACACAAAATGCGATCGTTTCCAGCGATGAAACACGCTCACCCTCGGTCGAACAAAAGAACTGAAATACATGAGACTCATGACGTGCCGACAGACCGACTCGCTTGCCCTCGACACACCACGGGCTCCTGTCAAATTACCTCTCCGCACAATATAAACGCCAGCCGCCATTCCTAAACCGGATGCTTCTTCATATAGTTCTCCATCAGCCAGATGGATTCCGCGCGACTGCACCACTCCTCTTCCTCTTCTTGTCTGCTCTCCGCTACATCCAGTCCAATTACTCCTCTTGCACATGACTCAACACCCCCGGCACCACCTCCTTACCCTTAAGATTCACAGCCCCATGCCGTAATCCCCTCCTCTTTCTGCCCATTATTCCCCTCTCTTGTTTTATATTCCTCTCTCCCTCTCCCTCTCTCTCTCTCTCTCTCTCTCTCTCTCTCTCTCGCTCGCTCGGCTCCCTTGCACAGCAGCACTCCTCTCTTTTTCTCTCTCCCTCTTTCTCTGGTGCGCTCTGGCTCTCGCCTTGGCGTGGCTTGCTGGTTTTGTTTTGGCTTCTCAGATGCTCAGCAGCAGCAGCGGCAGCAGCTCATCGGAACCACCATCATATCATAGCTCGCAGGCCTCCATCTCCGCCCCCCTTGGCTGCTCTCCCCGGCCCTTCCCGCCTTCCCGGCCCTTCCCTTCCCTTCCCTTCCCTTCTCTGCTCTTCTTGTTGAGCCCCGGCCCCTCGCCTGCTCTCTCAGCAGAACGAACGAAGACCGCAACATCCAACACTCGATCACCCCCAACTTTGTCGATCTCTGCTCCACAGCTCAGCACTGCACCGCTCCTCCTCCTCTTCCTCCTGCTGCTGCTGCTGCTCCTGCTCCTGTTGCCGCGATGTCCCCCGCTGCTGCTTGGCTACCGTTGCCGCTCCCGTTGCCCATCCTCCACCCTCTCGACGCCTCCCGCGTCACTGCTGCGTCTGCTCGTCCGTCCGTCCCTCCCTCCCTCTTTCCTTCCTTCCGTCCGTCCCTCCCTCGTCCATCAGGTCACCGAGTCACCTGCTCTCTCTTCAGTCCCTCAAAGAGCCAGCAGCAGGCGACTCCCTTCGCTTCGCTTCGCTCCCCGGGATTCCGCCTTTTTTTTCCTCGGCGTCGGGCAGGCAGGCAGGGCAGGCAGGGCGGCAGCCAGGACGTCCGGCCTTGGGGGGGTGGGGGTGGGGGACCCTAGGCCGCCCGCCCGCGCGGGACGATTCGGGAATCTGGGCCCGGGCCTCTCTTTGTGTTATGTGCAATGGTCGGCAGGCCTGCGATCCTTCTTTCCTTCTTTCGGTCGCGTCGGTGCGCAAACGATTTGGCAACAATGGTGTCAAAGAAGTGGAAAGGGAGAGAGGGAGGGGGTGCCTCGAAAGTCACCACACGAGCACAAAATTCTGGAGGAAAACCGACTGCTTCGCTCTGTGCGTTCACGGGATCATCATCTTTCGTGATGCGAGCATGATTCGCCTGGTCGAAAAAGAGGTTCTCTTGTCAGCCTCCCAGTCGCCCAGCCTTGACTTCACCTCGCCTCGTTTCGTGGACCACACACACACGCTGCTCTCTTTCCATCGGTAGACAGGCTTTGCTTTGATGCTTGCTCGCTCGCTCACTCGCTTGCTTGCTGCCTCGCTCCCTTCCTGGAGACGATGGGTGGTCATGCGAATCATCCGTCGAGATATGGGTGACGATGGTTAATAATTTATCTCGCAGCAAAGTGATGACATTGTTGGTTGGATGCAAATTGGGCGATGGGTGGCCATGCGAATCATCCATCGAGATATGGGTGACGATGACAAATAATATAACTCGCAAAGCATTGATATTGTGGGCTGGATGCATTTTGGCCGATGGGTCCTGGCACAAAAGATGCAGCCGGAGAAATGTGATGGATGCGAGCTACGCATTGCATCGAAGATCTAGATTCGATCCACCGAACGGATACTGGAGCACATATATAGTCCTGAGAGTTTTCGAGGAAACACACGTGATTTGTTCCTCTGCCTCTACTTTGCTCTGCGGATTCTAATCCATATGGGCCAGGGCTCAAGAATCTGCATTGTTCTGCTCCAGCATCTTCGCTTTCAATTTAAATATTATCATACCGCTCGTCTCTCTTTCTCTGACAGGCGTCACATCGCCGAAGTTTCGAATATCATCGCCCGCCTTCCAAAATTGAACTCTACTATAGTCTGAAACTTCCGCAAAAATCACTTCGGACTCTTCCCTTGTCTCTCCATGCGCCGGCCCTCCTTCAAAGATTTACTCTCTGATAAAGGCAGCAAAAGCAGCAGCGATTCTTTTGAAAAGGAGTTCTTTCACCCATAAAATCTCAGAAAATACACCTCGACACCAGATTATTGGCCTGATCGAGTTTCGGGAACAAAGATAAAAGGCATGGCGGGCGGGAGGGAGAAGGAGGCTTTGTTAACAATTTACTGCTATGTTCTCCTATCTTTCATCTGCCACAATTTCAATTTCCCATTCTTCTTTGGCTCTTGTCCTAGAGCTCTGACAATGAGGCATTACAGTGCAGGGCAGGGCAGGGCAGGGCATTGCATCCGGATAGCGTAACTCGCCTCGAGAGGCAGAGACATACAGGGCTAGGGTTTGAGGGTGGCCCCTGAGAGTGATTTTTCAGGGCTTATAAATAGATGGACAGGATTGAAGAAGGCACGCCCTGTAGGCAGGGGGGCATGGCAGGTCTATCACATACGGAGGGGCTCATTCGATACAGTGAAGGGCATGGAGCAGACCGGTGGGGCTGTCAAAAGTCCTATAGCGAGCAGCGACCGCGCACAGTCGGACACGAGACCCCCCTTCGCAATGCGAAGTCTGCAAGGAGAGGAGGCCCTCGGCGGTGACCTTCTACGTGGCGGTCACTGAACTCCCGAATCTGCGAATGCCACCGGCTCCGAGACCTGTTCTGATTCGATGTGACCGGACGGGTCCGTCGTCCCGTAGCCTGCTCTCGTAGGCCGTTGACGTCTTGCCGTGAGTCAGCCCCGCTCTCGTCGATCTTGCGGTCGCGTACCGTCAGATAAGCGGACGGAGGGCTGTGGACCGGAAAGTCCGGGAGTGGAACTCTGGTACGCACGAAGGGTTAGAAGAAACGCGTTCTCACTTACGGGACAGAAAAGCAGTCTTGACCAAATCATCGACCGGCGGGTAGAGGTGACGTTGAGGGTAACTATGTGGCCTGGCACCCTGTACCCGATGAGGGGGATGGGAGATCGGGGCCCGAAAATATGTGGATCACCAACGGGAAGAACCAAAAGTCTTGTAATTATTGAGATGGGTGTGCGTGCTGCTGATGTATGAGGAAGGTCGGATCTCCACAAGTCCACAAGCCTGTAGTATCCGTTCCTTGTGAGAAAATACTCCTACCAGTCCCGGCAGGCATGAGTTCAACTGGCAAGCCCACTTATCTACTATACCGAGATTTGTCATCTTCTTGCAGACAGACATCTAATCTTCCACAGTCAATTCGACTCGAGTATTATAATGAAAGTGTAGCCCTTGCCTCCATGCTGGAAATTTGTAGGAAATTCTCACGAAAGACGACATGCCAATTATCTACTATTTGTTTTACGGACTGTGTATTGGCATATCTTTCTGGACACGCAATCGTCTGGAAGCATTTTTTTAATTTTATAATTGACTGAATTCTGCTTCGTACACTAAGCATTTTCCCATGTGAAAGTCACTATCACTTCTCGTTACCTGTGGTCTTACTTTGGTCCTGTTTCTGTATCTTCTTCGACAACTTCCTCCGATCTAGTGGGTTCAAACCTTACGACATCATTGAGACAGAGTAGAATCAAGGATTCTGCAGAAGGGAGCCTAGAGAGACAATTGTAGGTTGTAAAAGAGCGTATGGTTGCTTGGAATTTGCATGTCAGTAGATTTCCAGTCACAGTTGACAGTAATAGAAAGGCAGCTTTACTTACCTCCATCTTAAGGAGAAGAAAAGCTACATCATCTTTGTTGTCGTTGTTGTAGTCACAAGGTGACGAAGCCTAGAGGCCCGAGATACTGTGTGCATTATCTGCTATCCACAATAAACAGATTGTTTGAACTTTTGCAGTTGTCCCTGTTGTCGACTGTAAGTTCTGAGGTAGAGAGAGGATAATTTGCACAATTGATACCGATCATGAAACGTTTAGATCTCCTCCATGTGGAGTACATGGACATCTACATATTTCCTCTAAAATGTGAAAAGCCACGCACGCAGGGCAGAAACCGACCCGCCTACAAGTTGAAAGATATAGAAGACAAACCAAAATCAGGAGGGCCACCCGTGTCCCTGCCCAGCCACCTGAGCAGGTGGAATCATACTTAACTCATGTGTGCTGACTGCGTCCTAATGTACTCCGAACATAATCTATCATTTATGTCAAACCATTCTCAAGTAAAATGCAGTAGATATCAAGTACGTCGCTCTATACGTCTACCATCATCTTGTCCACTTGCGCTGGAGGTATGGATGAAATCAACTTCAACTTTTGTCACACCTCCCATTGTCTTTTAACGATATAGAAATTTACCAACAAGACCTACTGTTAAGCTTGAAAGTATTTGTATCCACCTCCCTTTCTGCTTCCATTCCTGCTTTCAGCTTTCTCATTCTTCTTCAAAGTTTGTAAGTTCCAATTTTGTCACTTTGTTATGTGTTGAGGATTGAAAAGGCCTATAAACCTATTCACCAGTCCAAAACCACCAGAGAAAGAGCAAAAGCACATCGGGGAGCAACTTTCTATATCTGGCATCTACGCTGGAATACTAGCCGAAATCACAAAGTCACCTAAGGGCCTTTAGGAGGAAGAGGAGCCCACTGGTGAAATACTAAAAGAAGGAACTCCAAACTGTCCAGGTTCTCATGCTTCAATCCCACACCCGAAAATAGGGTGGGTGGGGGGGCGGCAGGGATCCATAATCTTGGAATTTGCTAGGTATCAATAGCATATATTTGCTGTGACTGTACGGAAGTAATTGGATTGCAATCTCCACCCCGTGGTGCGAAGGAATGCGACCAAGTAGTCTGCAAATCATCAAGCGCAACCCTTAAATCGAACCCCAAACTTTGAAAAATGGGATTCAGAGGAAGAGTGAGTCATTCTTATACCGATCTATCTATTCTTGCCCGCTTCAATATCTTTTGGTCAAGTCAAAAATTTAAAATAATTAAAATAAGTCTAAAATAATTTTAGAGTTTTTATAGTAGTAAATGACCACCTCTAATGTGCAGTGAAAGCCACCTGCGCTTTGCGCTGGGAGAACCAAAAAGGATGAAAAGACCCCTACAAGTCTACAAGGATGAAACAAAG